ATGCAGGTCATTCACACCCTAAACATTATTTGCACACATGTCGTGTCGTACACCAAAGAGCGGCGTGTGTGTCGCGGCTGCGAGTGCAGTGCAATAAGCAAATGAGGATAAATTTGGCACAGGGAATAATCGTCAGTCTACTGCGAGCATTGTGCACTGGGGACGATGGTGAGTGCGCGGCAGAGCGCGCAGACATGTGCACGCCAGGCACACACAACATGGCACTCTCCGCACTGGTCGCGTGTCATGAACACTCGCCACTCCATCAATAAAAAGCTGTAAAATGTTATCGCAATATGTAGGACGCATGGAAATAATACCGGGGGTATACTTGTAATAAACTACACTACAAGTACAACAACGGAATCTTAACGCACTTGCTGTAGGTTTTCTTTTTACAGAGGTATATATGTACCGGGTGATTCAGAGCACGCGCCGCCGTGTTGCGGGTTTGCCTATCCTCGACTCGGCGGGCGCACGGGTGAGAGGTGAGGAGGTGAGGGGTCCCCTCCTCACCTCTCACCCGTGCGCCCGCCGAGTCGAGGATAGGCAAACCCGCAACACGGCGGCGCGTGCTCTGAATCACCCGGTACACAGAAATTGCGGCCCAAAAACTGATTTCTAGGATCAAGTATAGGTATGCCCCAAAAAAGGTGGTATGTTTGAAATCTAGTGCATGCACTCAGTTTACTCAGATACTGTACTTTGAAACAAGTGCATCACTCGAGTAAACTGAGTGCATCCACTTGGTTTCCAGTACCTGCCTTTTGGGAGTACAATGTACGTGTAGAATAGTACAGTCTCACTCTAAAAATACCGTAGGCAGATACGGTTTGCCTACGGTCCGCACCGTATTTTCAGCGTACGGTCAGGCCGTAATAGTATGAACTGTACTTTCTTGTTTTAGCTAAGAACTGTATTCGAATTCCCCGACATTTTCTTCAAGTTACGTCCCTGACCAAAAATTACGGTGCCGGACCAGGCAACAAATTTACAGCGCAGACCGTAGGCCTTTACCGCGTGTTTTGCTAACATTGCTACTTGTACAATAGTACCGGGTGTAACTGAGAATGCGCAACAGTGTTGCGGGATTGCATACCCACCAGGGCTGCAGGGGCCATGGCGCCTTACGGGCTAACTGGGTAGGCAAACCCGCAACACTGTTGCGCATTCTCAGTTACACCCGGTACAGTCTACTTTTACAAAAGTACAGTCTACTTGTACAATATAACAGTGTACATGTACAGTACAGTGAACTTAACCCGCAAGTACTCAGCTTTGTTTGTTTGTTGTTGTTTTTTGTTTTTGAGGGACGGGGGCGTCCACCACAGCACGCGTCCAGCTGACCCCAGCACGGCTTCTGTCAGAACGCCTCCCGGCCTCACGTGGCCCTGCTCCTTGGACGTGCGGGCCGAGGAGGGCCCGGCCCAGGAAGGCCCACCCTAACACACTCACGACTGCTCCGTTACGCCTTCTCCCTTAATCCGGGCCCCGTAATGAACTAACAGGGGCCAAAGCAGCCGGCCGGCCGAACGCTGGCACGCCGCGAGCGTGCGGAAGGGGAAGAGGCAGAACGAAGCAGAGCGAAGCAGAGCGAAGCAGAGCGAGGCAGAGCAGCCAACTCGACCGGAAGCAGCCGATGCCTGGGGGCGAGTGAGTGTGAGTGGGTGCGGCCAAAGGGTGCGGCCGGCGTCCCGAGTGTGGCCTAGAGATCCCCCGAAACCCGCTGCCCTGCAGCCAGAGGGCGAAAGCCATCCTCTTACTGCTCCCTCTCTTCAGCATACACACTACATGCCCTTTCTCCCTCTCTCCCGCTTGCCCTCTCCTTCTCTCTGTCTCTCTCACTTACCCACACAAGCGCGCGACCTCTCCCGCCTAGCAGATTTCGTTAACGACCCTGCAAGGTCTGCGCTCGGAGAGCAGGGCGAGCAGGAGCAGGGAGCAGGGCCGGCAGAGATTTGGGCTCACACGTGCCGGTGCGGCGTGCTGGGCATGCCGAGCGGCGCCACGCCACAGCATGCCACGCCACACCACGCCACGCCACGCTACGCCCTACGCCCGTCTGAGAGCGCGGGAGGGAAGGAACGAAAAAAGGGATATCTATATCAAAAAGGAAAGAAAGAGAGAAAGAAAGGAAAAAAACACGCGTCGCCTGTCCCCCATGCACATCCGGTTTGAATAAGTAAAGAGGGGGAATGGGGGGCGCGAGGAAAGGTTGGGACTCACCGGCGGCGACACGGTCTGAAAATATTATGACCGCCTTAATTCTCGAGCCGAAAGACTTTTATTTATTTTGCCGCCCTTTCTCCTCTTCCCTTTCGCTTTTGCTCTCGGCTCGGCCATGAGATAGGGAGCGTGATTGGAGGCCAGCTCCCATCTATCTGTCTTCCCCACTCCTCTGTCTGTCTCTGTCAGTCTCGCGCCCGAACGTCCGAAAATATGCCCGGCGGCGCGGAGCTAATCACCACCAGCGGGAAATATTGAATCGCGTATTGGAGAACGTGATTTCTTTCCTCTGCCCCCTTACTTATTTTATTTTTATTTATTTTTTTGCAGTCCCTCTGTAATCCGCTTTCTAATTAGCAAAGCAATGCGAGCGGTTCTGTTAATGTTTCATTTTATTGTGGCCCATTATGGAGCCTCAACCAAGCGGGTACTCAGAGAAGCGTAAGTTTGATTTAACATCAAAACTTGCTCCGATTGTTCCAAAGAAAATTTTGACTTTTGATTAAAAGATTTCAGTTAAATTGGGCAAATTCCCTTGAGGGGAATAAGGGTCCACGTTTCCTCTGAAACAAAGGAAGCACTTCTTGAAGGTACGATATTTTCCTGGATTTTTCTGGTGATATCTGATGTAAGCGAGTGCTTTCGGAAATTGCCATGCCCTTCTAATGGAAAACCAAGCTCAATGGAAATCAGTCATCAATCATTTAGCTAATGCGACACAGTCCATTGGCGATAATTTGCAGCGTTCCCTATCGACGTGTGCCTGCAACAACATCCTATCTCGAAAATGTGACGTCTGCCTGTCGGCACCAGGTGAAAGGCAGGGAGCGGGAATGACGACACATTTTCGAGATAGGATGTTGTTGCAGGAACACGTCGCTAGGTTCGCAACGCAACGCGCGACACATTTTTTTGCAATAAACTAACTACCACCAGCTTACGCCTATGAGCAGGCCAGTGTGGGCGGCTTGTGGCGAGTGCCGGTGGCTGAAGGGCAGAGGGCCAACGAAGTGTATACAACACGGTGAGTGGTAGCCGACTCGGACGGCGGCATCAGCAACAGCAGCAACAGCAGCAGCAGCAGCAGCAGCAGCAGCAGCAGCAGCAGCAGCAGAAACAGCAGCAGCAGCAGCAGCCGCCGCATGCCCGCGAGTTATTTGATCAGCAACCACCGCAGGAGCGTGAGGAGGCGGCAGGCGGCGGGGGCGGATGAGAGATGGTCGGGTCGGGCCGGGCGGGTAGGGCCTGGCCTGGACGCTACTCGCTTGCCCTCCGGCCGCCGCCACCCGTAGCCACCCACCCGCTCACCCGCTCACGCCCGCCTCGCCCGCCTCCCGCCTGGCCGGTCCGGGTGGTGGTGGCCTCTCGCCATTTTATCTTTATCTCTCAGAGCCTTTTATGGCGATACGCTCTGCATCCCGATGCCGCGCACCGCAGCCCGGGCCGAACCGACCCGACCGCCGGGAAGCGGCGGTTTCCCTAAATAGACCGTGTTTTTCTTTTAAAGCGAACCACTATTACGCCCTAACTCCAATCCTTACCAGGCTCTCTTCCCCTGGCACCGCCTCACTTGGATTTTCTTTTGAGATGCTGCACCCAACACTCACTGGCAGAAAACGCAAATGCACCATCCATGCACCATCAAATATCAACTGGATGTGACCAATTTGGGTTACACCATCACCTGATTCGACCTGATTGGCTTTAATTTCGGTCTCATTCTCATTATGAGATGCAGACATCCTGAATCAAATTCATTGTGTTTCCTGCTTCCTAGCTGCTGAGAATGAACTCGGAAATCAAACTTCTGTTCCAGGATCAGCTAGCCATAATTTCAACATCGCATTTAGTATTCGGGAAATTGAAATTAAGATAAAAATTCCCAAACCATGCACTGTGAGACGCGAGCAAGATTGAGCGCGATATAGTTTTCTAATCGCTCACCGCACGCTGTAGAAAAATATCCTCGTCAATTTACGATATATTTCTTAATGAATATTTACAAAAAATGTGTTATAAATTCAGGACACCCCATGGGAGGGGTAGTGGAGGGCGCGGTGGGGCGAGGCAGGGATACGCGGAGCAGCCCATAAGGAAAAGGCGCGGCAAGGACACACTTGGACGACGGGGATCAGCTGGTAGGCATTCCAGGTGAATGGCAGGTGGGCGGGCGAGGTCAATGAGGAGATGTCGACGGGGGGGAAGTGGGGGGGGGGGTCACGATGACGGCGGGGGGTGAAGCAAAGGGCACATGGCGAACAATGATGAGCACTCCGAGCAGGAGGGAGCGCGCGCTCAAAGCATCCGGCTCGGCCTCCGGGAGAGCCAGACTCCTAGCCTCCTCGGAGACGAGCCGAAGGTCGGGCCGACGGGAGGCACTCCGGGTGGGGGTCTCAGTGCGGGCCTCGTGCTGCGGGGGGCGCAAAGTAAAGACGGCGGCGGGCGAAAGTTGTCGAGTTGAGCCCCACAGGCGGTTGTGATTGCGAATCTCAATTTGAGATTGCGATCGCCCCCACCCCCCACCCCGCCTGTCGGCGGGCGCGACAACTAAGTAGATGCGCCAAATTTCGACGCGGGTGCAGGATTATTAGAGGGGGGGAAGAGGTGGAGGGGGGGCGACCAGGAGGTGGAATGAGTCGACAGAAGCAACGATTCCGTCTGACTGCTGACACAAAAGAGTCAACGTGCCCACGCACAGGACGCAGTAAATCGACTAAAAATGTTTTTGAAAAACAGAGTTGAGGTAACTAAGTAAGACGGTGGCGGCTACTCACCAGGTTAAGGAGGTACACGTTGGTGACGGTGCGCATGCGTTTGCGCTGAGCCAGGGTGACGAGCACCAGCGAGTTGCCCACCACGGACAGGATGAAGATGACGACGTAGAGGGGCACGATGAGGCCCGTCTCCAGGACGTTGGTGGCGCCCGGGCTGGCGGCGGCGGGCCCCAGCACGGGGCCCACGGCGACGGACGGCGCCCGGCCGGGCTCCAGGAGCGGCGTCCACGGCGTGGTGCCGAGGTCGGGGCGGCCCGACGAGCCGCGGCCCAGCAGCGCGCCCTCCAGCCACACGCTCGCGTTACCGCCCCACGGCGCCTCGCTGCTGGCGTTCCACGGCGCCTCCATCGTCACGCAGTCGTCGAGCGCGCGGGTCGCGACCGGAGTTACGAGGCGATCACGATGTCACGGTTCGTCACTCGAGGCGTCATCCGGAACCTCGTCGCACTAGCGGATTGTCACACGGCGGAACGTCACACGCGGTCGTCACACGGAAAGTCGCACGGGACGTCACACGGCAGCGTCACACGGTAGCATCGGTAGCGTCGCACGGTGGTGTCACACGGAACGTCACTCGCATCGGCAGACACAGAGCCGAGGGTGTCGCTGCTCTGAGTGCCCCGGGACAGGCCGCGGCCCCGGAGCTCTCATCCTCTTCCCCGGAGACAGACGCGATGGAGTCGCAGTCCACGACGACAAAGCTGCTCGCCGGCGCGCTGCAACGAAAGACGCGAATCCTTTGAGAAAAGCACCGGGATCGAGAGCATTGGGACGTGGCAGGCACGAAATGAGTCGGGGTCGAGGAGGAGGCGAGATCAGACGGTTACCCCAGCGCCCGGTTCTTCTTTCTAAATCTACTAAGGAGAGAGAAAGAAGAGTCCAACGTCAGCTCTTTGCTGAGCAAAGCGACGCCCTCTCTGAGAAACTTTCTCAGCAACTTCAGTCTAACACCTTACGTTTAGTTCTATGATACTCCGACACGCTTTGCCTTCAAATTAACTCCTTCGCATACATTTAAATATACGTATTGCTTAGGGTGTCAGGCGGAAGTTTCTGAGAAATTTTCCAAGAGAGAGCTTTGCTTTGCTCAGCAAAGAACTGACTTTGGACTCATCTTTTTCTTTTATTAGTAGATTTAGAAATATTTATTTATTTAAAAATTTAAAAAAATATATACACATCGACCTATAATGCACCCAGTCAAAACTGTTAACGTAACTGAAACCTAATTTGCTTCAATAAGATAGCAGTGGATGCGATGATGAATACAAACTTACTGAACTGATCTAGATACTTTTTAACCAAAACTATAAAATGTCTTAGTATATTTTAATTCGAAGGGACCTTTTCTACGAGGGAATGAGGTATTTTACGAATAAGAAGAACAGGAGGAATCCCGGCCGACGTCTGCTCCCGGACCATAACAAAGCCACGGCCAAGCGCACGGTTTTTCGCGTATCTCCACTAAAATTGAAAAGAAGTCATAACTGTTCTATATCATTTTAAAGCTGAGAACCTCAAAAATCTGGTACACGAGAAACCGTGTCGTTAGGCGCCAGTGACCTGCGACTTGTTATGGTCCAAAAGCCGGGATTCCTTCTGTTCTTCTTATTCGTAAAATACCTCATTCAAATTTGCCAAATCGCGATTGCGGTTCTCACGCCAGGCTTGATTTTCAAGCCCATCGTTTTACGACGGTTCTTCATTGGCTGCGGTAACCATGCGGACCGTGAAAAACACGCTTGCGTATCGTAAACTCTTAATCCACACTACTGCATCAGGCATCATGTTTGCACCTACTTGTGAAATAACACAACTTCACAACTTCACGTATAATATTCTAATGGGGAGGTTAATAACCTCAAAGGCCAGCAGTTTCCCTGCAGTTTCAACCATTGACGGCAGCAACACACTATTGTAAAATACCAAGAACAAAAAATTAGATTCATTGCGAATCATTACCTGATAGAAACGGCGACTGCCATTGAACTGGTCGTTGAAAGTTGTACGACAAATATAATTAATTCTATCCAAGGCGCCATGACTGTTTTGAATACCGAACTGTGTGGTGAGGCGGCAGACGAGACAGGCAGCGGACGGGAGGTGGCGCGCTCTCGTGTCCGATCACGAAGTTCTGCGTTTTGGTCATTCCCTCTGACCGCACCGTGGGCGGTGCACGCGCACAAACATAACGTCGCGTAGGGACTGTCTAAAATACTACTCGTTCAAAGTGGCATCAGTCGGCTCTATGGTTCGTGGTGTGGTTCGGTTGGGAATCGGTTGGCACGGACACTGATCTGATAATAGTTGGCTTCACCGTCGTCACCCTGTCTCGAATATTGCGATCAGTGAACTCTCTCTCGCGGCCCCCTGCTCCCGCCTCCGCCTCGCCCTCTCTGGCTTACACACACAGATTGCTTGCAGAATGTGACGCACTCCCCAGGGGGATGTTTTGTGCGGCGTTATTGGAAGCAGCGATACGCGGCGTGGGGATGCCAGGCGTGGCCGGCATAGGCTTACGGATGTGCACGCGATATCATACACCGATATTGGGGGGGATCGGAAGTCAGGGACGCAGGAGGAAGAACGCCCAGAACAGCGGGGTGTGAATGAGGCCTCTATACTCTAGCGTCGGGGATTCGATTTCATGGTTCACCTTCCTCAATGGCCTTCAACGCCGCCACCGCGATTCGAGGCGACGAGAAGGCTGCGCAGGGAAATGCGAGACGCGGTCGCCATCCACTCCGTGCCGTGCCGCACGCGACTAGGTGTAAAGTTCGGGCCCCGAGCGCTCGCTCATGTGAGATGACAGCGAGCGGCGGCGGGCCTGGCAGCGGGGCATCAGCGTGGGCGGGCGAGGTCCCCTCGCACCTGATGATATACCAAACGTAAAACTGACCCAAAGATTAAAATACCAATATCCTTTTTTAAAGGGGGAGAAGCAGGAGCTGTGAACTATCTGCATGATAGTATAAATGTTTGTACAATGTTTTTCCATCGATTTCATCCCAATAAATTGCATTGCAAAAAATAATTTTATCACGCTTATTAGCATGAAAATCACACAACCAGTTATCGCAAAAAGATGAGTAAAATTATCGCAAAAAGTATTTCAGAGTGTGTCGTTTGTACAACCCCCTTGCTTGACCTTCGATTCAAAGTCGATACGCAGTGCTTGTAAATTTACAATTTTGAATTGTAAGTGTACGACATCTTCCATGGAAAACTTTCCTATATCCGGTACGACAATTTTTCACAGTGTACTGGGAAGCACTATGTTGACGCGCAACGAGGTCAGAAAAGGGGATGCCGTAATCAAGTTTGAAAAAGACATTTTAAAACCGCAATTTCGAGACCCAAACATGACCCAAACATAGAGTGAAATGTGCGCACGTGCCACCCCTCCCCCCCCCCCCTCTTCAGCCGCTGGACCATAGCACCCCGCGCAGCCACCAATAAGATCAACGCGCCCTCTCAAGCCCACTCCGTCCAACTTGCGTAATACCTTTAACGTAAGACGCTCGGCGGCGGAATTCACGATAATCCTGTCTGTCGAGGAAGAGGCAAGACACCAAGTACAGAAATCCTTCCCCTTCTCTACTTTGAGGCGAAGGGATCGCGCGAAAGGAGCGAGGGGTTGAGACCGTTCCTCTTTGTAGATTTGAGAGGGAACATGCGGATGGCGGAAGCCGACAGCCGAAGGCCCTATTCCTCCCATTTCTAATAATCATACTGTTCCTACACTCACACTGTAAAAAGCTTGCGGAGAACTACAACAAAAAATAAGCATTGTAAAATGATTTGTATTGCGAACTAAATCCTTCACATTGCGAACTAGTACTTCACACCTTACGAGGAAAATTGTTCGTAACGCCACAGCTTACGATGAAAATAGTTTGCAATGCTTCAAAATTCTCTGCAAGAATTTTGCAGTGCACACAAATAATTGAAAAGTTGGTTTTGGATCCAGTTTTTTGTGGAGGTGGGTGAAGTCTGTGGTGTTCAAGCCAAAAAAATCGCCGAACGAGTTGGGTAACGCCACACACTCGGCCAGAAATGTTTGCAAGGGCCTAATTGTAAAGTGATGAATTCAAATTGTAAAAAATTATGGATCGAATATCGAATGTGACTTTACGACCGCTTTTCGGAAATGTACAATTTTACATGGAAAACACAATTATGAAAAAAATTTACAAGATAAACTTTTCCACTTTTCATCAGTGTGATACGTTTCTCGTTCGACGCAGGGACCTGATACCCGTCCACGGGGTGAGCCGTAAGACATGCTCGTCTCTCTCTTCCTCTTCCCTCTCTCCCTCCCTC